CATCTTCTGCCGCCGCCGCTTGACGACAGCGAACAGCAAGAGCCCCAAGACCAGCAGCAGCAGCACGCCCACCACAGTGGTGATGATGGACGTCACGTGGCTGGGGGGCAGGGGGCAGGGTCATTGGCAAAGGGAAAGCACAAGGGTCACCTACAAACCCCGGCAGCCCTCTCTCAGCTCCAAAACCAACCTTGGCCCTGCCTCACTGCCTCCAGAAGAAAGTTCAAAACCTTTGCCCTGCATCCAGAGCCCCCTCCACCCACACCGCCAAAGTCTCTGCCTTTAGCCGGGGCTCCCGCCCAGGGGTCCCAGACTTGCACCTTGAGGATCACCAGAGAGCGCGTTGCTATGACGCTGGAGCCCCATCCCCAAACAGCCTGACTGTGACCGTGGGTTGGGCCCAGGAATGTGCCCGGCACTCAGGGATTCGAATGTTCTAGCCAAATTTTTCTCCCTTAGGCCACGATTTCCCACACCTCCCAGCCTTTGCACATGCTGGTCCTCCTGCTCTGAACACCGTTCCTCATCTGCCAAGACGCCGCTCATCTTAAGAGATGCTGGCCTGGCGGGCGCCTGCGTTCCTCCCCGGCGCAGCCCAGGGTCTGGCACACGAGCAAAGCTCTGGAGAAGGCTTGCTTCACCAACAACTGGCTGCCAAGGACACACTCCCACCTGGTCTGTACCCAAAGCACCTTCATGGTTCCCACAACCTGGTGGGCAGGGCCCTCCCCTGACCCCATGCTACCTCCCTCCCCTAAGCTCACTCAGAGGTCTAGTGCGGGAGCACACACTCGATTGTCACGACCCCCTCCCCGTTAATGCCTTCCCTCCTCTGGCTGCTAGCGTGGTGAATCCTCTGCCCCTCTTCCCAGGCCCGGCTCAGATGGTGCCACCCTCCTGGTAGCAGTTCCCACTCCCTGCCCAGTGCTACAGCACCGTCCTCTTCTAAATCTTCCTGGAGTCCTAAGGAGTTCGACTCTGCTGTGTCTCTCCAGAGCCATCCAGCCTCTTCAAAGGTGGGGGGTACTGGGTGTCTTCCTGTTCCCCACCCCCTCCCAACGTCCTACACAGGTCTTGGTGTAGTTGGTGAAGCCGATTTAAAATGGTAACTAGCAACAGGGTGGGTTGGCAAGGAACAGAAGACCCCCTCTCCTTGCAGCAGGGACCACCTAGGAGCCCGTGGGACGCGTGAGGGGCAACTCGGCACATCTAGGGGACCGGACCCACCTGGGTCTCTGCTCAGCGGGGCAGCCCTTCTCGTCCAGGTCCACACAGCTGCAGGAGAGAGTGCAGTCAATAACTTACAGACCACCCCCAGGGCTCATTCCAGCTCCAACCACAGAGGTAGGTGGGGCTGGGCCAGTATCCCCATTAGTCAAAGGCAGAATCTGGGCCCAGGATCACCCGGCAAGGCGAGGGAAGTGCCTCTCTAGCCTGGGAACCTGCATCTCCTGCTCCCCGGCACCCTCCCTGTGGCGGACAGCAGGGGTGAGGCATCTAAAAGAACATCACTTTGGAAAGCTCCGCTCTTCTCTTGGTAAGAGTCCCAGGACAAGTGAGCACCGGGTCTCCAGCAGTTTGGCAAAACAAAACAAAAATCACCAAACCCACTGTCATCGAGTGGATTCCCACTCAGAGTGACCCTGTGGGACAGGGTGGGACTATACTGTGGGACTCTGTATGGGAGCAGAAAGCCTCGGCCTTCTGAGGAGCGGCTGGTGGTTTCGAACAGCTCACCTTGCAGTTAGCAGCCCCACTCATAGCCACTACACCATCAGGGCTCCTACAGTTTGGCAGCACCCGTCAAATTCAACCATGATTATATTGCCCTGAGATCATCTTTGAATCTTAAATCAAGCTAATCCCCGACATCATCTTAAAACCGACCCACACATAGCTTCACTATTGAAAAAGACATGCCTCCCAGCCTGTGTGATCCAAAGATGGCCGAGAACAAAATCCAGATAGGATGGAGGGAAAGGTATCAGCGCTCAGTTTTTAGAAGGCTATGGAAGACAGTGGAGCCCACATCCATCCACAGAGTGCCTGTGCAAATTAAGCCTCTGGCAGATCCCCTCTGACCGCAGTCCAGGGATGTAAATAGCCCTACTCTCAGACAGAGGTGATTGTACACTTGATTATAGGGGGATGGAGCTATAATATACTAGGGTACCTAGGCAGCTCATCTCCCTCTTGACCCATTCTGAATTTGCTCTGGGTTCAAATATTTCTCGACAGAGGTTTTCACTCTGGCTTATTTTAAGATTGCTGGTGGCCTTTCCTTTTCCCCTTGTTTTCCCTGGTCTTTGGCACGTCTCTCAGTATATAAAGCACAGCAGAAGCAGATGAACGGAGACAGTAATTGGTGTAAAGGCTTGTTGGGGGGTGTGGGGGCGGCTGAGGAGAAGTGGAGAACAAATGGTAAACACCAGAGGAGGGGAGATGCTGTGGAACTGACTGTGGCGATGGATAGACGACTCAACTGTGGCGGAAGTGGACATGTGAATCTCATCGTGATAAAACTATCGAGAAAAAGAAAGCTGCCTGCCTTGAGCCTGTGCTCCTTTAAGACCTGTCTGTGGGCTCAAAGTGACAGCGATAACTCGGAAGATCGGCGATGGCGAGAAAAGAAGGGTGAGAATGGCCACCCAACTTGGAGAAGGTGATCGGTGTCAATGAGCAGTTGGGGCAGAAACTGGTGAGTCAGTGTATGTTCTGCAGCAACAACGAAAGAAAGCGAAAGAAAGAAAGGCAAGCCCACAGCCCAGAAGCAGCTTCAGCTCTGGGACATGTTCCCTAACATTACCTGCCCACTAGGGGGCGTGTACAAGGATGCTCATGGGCACCAGGAGTGCGGGTGAAACAGGCTCACTCAAATAGAGAGACACAGTTAAGTAAATTCTATGACGTCCATTCTAGGGTTAAGTAACTTTGTTTGTTCAAAAGAAGTAGATCTCTTTGGTCACAAGCAAAAACCTCCCAAGATATACTAAGTAGGAGGGAAAGCAAAGCACACTAAAATACATAGGGTACAATCCCAGTTACATTCACACACACATGCCCACACGCCTCATTAGTGGCCAACTATAGTGATTCTCTCTCTTACCCAGGCTGGAGGAAAAAAGAATGCTGAAAATGGAAGCTACGTGGAAATGATCGCTCCAATGGACTAACTTTCACATCAGCATCCGTCTCCACAACCCTAAGACCTGAAGAACCCGGTGGCGCCCAGCTCCCACTGCCAACTGCTTTGGAAGGCATCGCATGAGAAAGGTCCTGGGCAGAGTAGGAGAGAGTTGTGGAACAAAACCCAAACTCGGGAGAAAGCCCAGGCTCGCTGGTGCATAGAGACTGGTGGGACCCTTAAGACTGGTCGGTCTAGACTCATCTCATGTCTGTGGCTCAGCCAAATAATAGACTGGTCTACAAGGGGAACAGTAACACTAGTGATGGGTACACAGCACAGAATTAACAATCATTTGGGGTCAAGGAGGCAACATTTTCCCCAAGGACCAAGTTCAGAAATGGGGATGGGGGTGGGGGTGGCGGGGATAGGCTGGAGACAGGATGACCAGGGACGAGGGAAGATAGGCCATGTGACACAGAAGAGATTGCCGTGAAGGAGATGAAAAAGAAATGTACAAATTGTCTAGTGTACAACTGATGATCTGCTCTGTAAGCCTTCCCCTAATTCACAATAAACACACACACACACACATACACAAAACCCTGATTGTATATAAGGGTGAACCTTTTGAAATTGTCATTTGGGGGGACCATTTTGACCTCCAAGCATAACAACTTTGTGTAAGTGTAAGATGTGTAAGTGTAAAGAAAAATGTGGTTTTCCCAGGAAGGGGGCGGTGGCTTGGTAAGGTTTGCGTTTTTATATGGCTGGAAGTGTTTATCGCACGGGTGTCGTCATGTTGCTTGTGCGTCACTAAAAACAACCCAATGAGAAAAGTAGTGAACAGGAGTGAAGTAGTGCTCCCAGTTGGAGCATGGCGACCACGGTAAGGTTCTGGTCGGCAGGAAAAAGCAGCCTGAAAACAACTCATATGGTCTCTGATCCCATTCTGATGAAATGAAACAACAATAACGACATGCAATGATATATGTTGGAATGTACACAGATACGAATTGAAAGATATTCCAAAACATTAAGAGTGGGCCTGGAACTGCTAGCAACATTTATTCTGATGTATGGTTTTGTGACATGTGCATTTAAAATGTTTAAACACCATACTCCTTTTGTAGTCGAGAGAAAAACTAGGAAGAATTCAGCACCACAGGATAAGGAAAGCCAAGCTGTCCCCCCTTTAGAATGAGAGCCCCAGAGAGGCTCCTGACACAAAAGCCCCACCTTCCCTTCTGCCCCACCTTCCCTTCTGCCCCACCTTCCCTTCTGCCCCACCTTCCCTTCTGCCGAAAAGGCCCTCAGACTCACGAGTGGGTGCAGTTGGTGGGGCAAGGCTGGCACGTGCCCTCCTCATCCGGGAA